CTGTGACACGCCAGCCTGTTCAGTGGCTCATGTATTTTTTATTATGCATACGTACTTAAACAAGATTTAAAAAAAAAAAAAGCTTTCTGTTGTAAGTTTTCTTCGATTCACTTTTATTACCATTATGAGAGAAGTTACTGACTTCACTAACAGTCAAACAAGGACTAGAGGACGGGTAATAATTCACAGCACGACCAAACTAGAGAGTTACCAAATAGTCAGAGCCTGATGAGAGCCATTAATTTTCTACAAAGTACTACAACACAAAAGGACTTTCACTTCTAGCAAGCCATGTTTTAAAAGAGAGCAAAGTTTTCCCATGAAGTCTCACAATTTACAAGCACAGCAACATAATATCATTGCTATTTCATTTTTATTATATCAATTTTTTTCACCTGCACATGTTCTTTGAATCCTGTTATAGGAAAAGAAGCTGCACAACAAAGAGGTTTCTTTTATCAGCTCAGTAATTTTAAGCATTTCCACAAAACTAAACAAGACAAACCAAGTAACACTCAACCTTCTCTCTTCTAAGCAGGTGCAATCACCTCAACTTTCCCCTGCTCCTGACCCACCTAAGCTAAGAAATATCTACTTTAAGAGGTAACCCTAATAATATATTATACTGTAGAAATACTTTCAGGAGGTCAGGCAGCTGACTGCTGACCTAACAGGATCAAACAAAACACTGCTGGAGCACATTTTCAATATTATAGTAGGAAAACCAGAATATACAGACTTACTGAACTCTTTCAAATTCTTCACTCCTTAATTAAAAAAAAAGCTCCAGGTAACTTCTACCACTAGTTCACCAGCAAGAACAGACTAAGGACAAGTATGACTGGTCGCAGGGAATCCTTTCCCTACTATTTAAAACCACTGAAACAAGTTGCCCAAATTCGTACCAAAAATGGCTCATACCCCAGTAACCATGTGCAGGGCTGGCATCAGGAGATCCCAGAGGTGCAGGCAGCCAAAAGACAGCTCAGGGCTCGGAATCAAACTCCATGTGATTTTCAGAAAGCTTGACAACACTGAAGTGCTGCCATCATGGACCTGTCACTGCTGATCCCTAGCAGTATTTAAAATATCTTTACCCAGCATTATTTAAAAACACATAAGCCAGTATGGCAAGGGCTGAATTCTCTTTCTCAGCAAGGGACACAAGACCTTTCTTACACCAAATGCTGCTACCTGGTGAAACATGGATGAATGATAAAGGTCTAGAAAACCGACATCTGACAGCTATTAATAAAAACCAAAAGGAAAGCTGTAACAATGATACCATAAATAAAATTTGTCAACCTTCAATGTAACCAGCTTTTCAAACATAACCTGTGTGTTAAAAGGGCAGTTCACTTGCCTTGATGCTGTTAACCTAGATCAGAGAGAAGGGTGGAGGGGGAACTAATCACTGCCACACACAGCTTTCAGAACAGAAGTACACTGAAAATCACTCTCACAAGTTTTACATTACCAAGTATTGACAGCTAAGGCAGGAGAAATTTAAAGCAGAAGGAGAAGGGTAAAATCAAGGAATTATTTCCTGAAAGAACCCCTTAATCACAGCAGTTTAGTGTAGGTGATGGCTTCCTGGGAAATGCATTCACTGGCCCTTTACCCTTTCACTGCTTGTCAGATGTGTTTGATTTATTTTAGTTATATGGAAAGCAACTGGAGTACAGACTATACTGAGGAAAATTGGAAAACTGCACAAAGGTTTGCACTGAAGTTAACCTGCACAAGGAAGATGCTGGCAACCTGAATGGCTGCATGTATGGCACACTGTTAATTTGGTTAGCAAATGATGTGTACCCTTTAGAAATGCAGATGTTAAAGAACATGCTGTAACTTTTCCTTTTTCAGAAGGCATACTAAGCACTTAAAAGCAAAACAGTTACCTCTAGATGATATGCTGGAGGCACAAGAAGCACTTAAAAAAAGCTAAAGCTGCTGATACAAAGATCCTATTTATCACTATTTAGCAGCCCCCTGTGTCTATTTGAATCAGTAAAATTTCTCAAGAGATTGCCTCTCAACACAGTAAATAACTGCTTGCATGTCATCTTACTGCATTCACCCACATTCTTACAACCCCCATTACATTGGGGATTGCAGGGCAGGCTGATGCAGCAACAACATTCCTGTATTTGAAATCCTTAACTTTCAACTGTTTTTTTTTTTTTCTTCTTTTGGCACACATAGTAGGATTTTGGCACAGTCTGACAAATGCCAAAATCCCGCTACATTACATACACAAGACACTTAACACTGTTTTACTGTAAAATAAAATTATGCAAAGAGAAAAAACAGAAAGTCACTCTCTTCCATTTCACTTTTAAAATCCTTAAATTATTTACAATCACTAAAAGCTAAAAAAACCCCAACCAAATGAACAAAAAAAAAAATCAAAATGTGATTTTGTCCAAAGAAGCAGTACTCTTACCTATGTATGCAACTAAAGTCAAAATGTGTGCATTTTTGACTGTGTAGCATTAAAGTGGCAGGCTGAAAAACATGCAGTACTCTTCTCTCCAACAACACTTCTGCACAATAATACTTATTTTCATAAAAGGAGAATCTTTGTCCTACAAGTCTCAATAAAGCCACTTCTCATGTGTAAAGATTCATTTATTTCAACCCAACTACTCTTGCAGTCCTGAATTTGCAGGACTCTACTTGCTAACATATTCATATCTTACAATTCACAACAACAATAAAATAATCTTTAGCAAACATATTCTACCACACCTATCTATAGAGCAGTTTTTCATTTTCACCCCCTCAACTATAAAAACAAGTCCTCCAATGAATCATGAAGACAAAAGTTATCCTACAACAGCAAACTTGGCACTTGCAGCATTAGAGAGAAAGTTTTAAATACGTGTTTCTATTTCAGAAATCCACATTTGCCTGTATGTATTCTCTTTTGGAATATCATACTTTCATCCAAATACTGAATTAGTTCATGAAAGCAGTAAAATATACATATACAAGCACAATCTATAACTTAAAAAACCCCAAAAATTAAATGGGAAAAGTAAGCTTCAATATTAACACAGCTCAAAATAAGACACAAAAGTACCTTTACACAATTTGAAGCTGTACAGAATAAGGTTTCATTTCCTAGTACAAAATCAAGAATTTGTACTTCTTACCTATCATCATCTAAGAATCGTATTAGTTGTTAATACTGGGATTTCCTTATTTGACATCACCCATTAATAGGTGTACTTTAAAAACAAAAACTGGCATGCCATTTTGTTTGCTAGGACACCACTTCCAACTTTTTCTCACATACATTTTCATAAAATCAGGTCTGCAAGTACTAAAAAATTCAACTCTGCCTTATCTATGTGTCATGCCTTGACCCTCAGCTTTCACTTAAACAGTTCTAGCCCTCTTTGGTGAAGACAAGCCACTAAAAATGCTGTAAGTGTACGAAACCAGTGTTTGTACTCTGCCATAATTGCTCTCATGGGGCTTTTGGCAATGCTCTGTCATATTGTGCCTTACCTGAAATAGCAGTTCCACCTCTTTACTGCTCTGAAACTAGCCTGCATCCACTAACCACAGCAGTGAAACTTAAAACCCACCACACCTTTTGAATATAGCAAACGTTTTGCCAATGATAATTGTTGTAAACTAAAGGGCTTTAGGATACTACGGATAAATCCTTCTGTCACTCTGGGGACATGTCTAATTACTACGGTTAAAGCTCAGCCCTTGATTTCAGGGAGACAGGACAAAGCTCTAGCTGAAAAATTATTTAATCACTGCATCTAATGAAAACTTGCTTTTCTGGTAAAAAGATGCTACTCTCTTTCTACAGAATACAACAGAGGAAACTGAACCAGCTCCTCCAGCTAAAAAATTCTACACACCAGTTTTCATTTAGCATTTAAGGGACTTCCTCTATGTGGGCTTCCATGTAGAGCAAAACTCAGACACACCAAACGGCACACAGCTGATTTGCATTCAGAAGGAAGAATTTGGGACTCAGGCACACAACACTTCACTTTCACTGTTGTTTTCAACAAAATTGGTGGCACTAAAACTCTTGGGAAAGTATTACTTAAGAAACTGAGCTGATATAAAAGACATTTAACAACACTGGGATTCTTATTATCCACTGGGATTAGTCAACAGTATTTAGATTAGAGGCTAAAAGCAAGAGCACTGCCTTCTGAGCTAAAGAACCGATTCCATTCTGCATGCTGATGACTGAACACAAAGCAATTAATCTGCAGGATCTCAGCACCCATTACACTGCTGTCTTTAAATACTTTCCTTCTTTCAGACAGGCATCCCTAAAATAATTCAATATACACGTATCAGAACTTAACATCGGAATATTTAAGTTCTCCTTATTTCAGGAGAGAAAGGGGAATTTGCAGTCTCAGTTCTGAAACAGATTCCTGTGTTGTGGGTCTGGTTTTAGAGTCACTTTGCCTACTGTATTAACCTCATCTGACCTTAAGCTGTTAGGCACATTGAAGCATCAGTGAAACATATAGTGTTTCTCGAATAAGCATCAACCCTTTCAGTGACTCTTAGCACACCCTGAGGACAGCCTGAATTAGAACTTAATGATGCTTCTGGAACCATTTGCATCAATTGAGCCAAAAGACAATCCTCGATCTCTGGTTAAGAATATAAAAAGGTCCTTTGCTTATCAACAGCCATTGTACTGATGCTTCATGTCAAAACTCGAGTTACAGCTGTTTCCCTTAGTAGGGACAAAGCCGATGCCAGGACGTGCTGCCCAGCAGACTCACCCATCGCTTTCTTGCCGTGATGAGCAGTTTTGCCATTTATAAACATCGGTGCCTATGAACATAAGTATTTCGAATGAGGCGAGAGGAAAAACATGCAGCTGTCTTTTCTCGAGCTACTTTCAGAAAACAGCTTATGAGCCATACGTATCTCTGGCACACCAGTTACACTGCCCTCAAAACAAGCGACTTGCACGGAGGGGAAAAAAAAACCAAAAAAACCACCTTATGCTCGCAGCCGCACGAATCGCGGTTCCGCTGTGTTTTCACAACAGTGTCAACACTTTTCAGGCGACTCGCTCCGAGAACGACACGGAATTTCACCGGGCGAGCGAGGGGTCGGGGGAGCGCGCCCCGCCAGCCCGCCGGGGCAGGAAGCGCCCTCCGCCCGCCGCCTCAAGGCGCCTCGGCGGAGTCACGAGTCCAGGAGTTTCGGGCACTTACGTAACGCCGCGGGGCCGCCGCCGTTGTTGTTTCTCCCCTTTCCCGAAGACGAACTCGTTTCCGAGACCCTCAACTCCCTCAGTGCCCTAGGACAAGCCAGCGCCCGCCGCCGCCGCTTCCTTCCCCAGGTCCTGCCCGCCCCGCCGCCTCCCTCCCTCCCTGCCGGCGGGACGCGGCGCTGCCCCAGCCCCGCGGCGGGACAGCGGAGCCCAGCGCCGCCTCCCACCGGGGAGCTCCTTCCCCCCCCCGGGCAGCCCCCGGTTCCCAACATGGCCGCGGGAGAGCGGCCGGAGTCCCGGCGGAGAAGAGCTCCGCAAGGAAAGTTTTCCTCTCGCTCCCCAGCGGGCCCCGACCCAAGCCGATCCCTGGCCGCCCGTAACACGGCCGGACGGTGCTGCTCACCCGGTACACCCCGCTCCGGCCGCCTGCCCTATTCGCCGCACGGCCGCGGTCATACACCCCGCGCCGGGGGACGGGCTCCGGGACACCGCCCGGCGGGGCGGGGCCGCCGCCATCTTGGGCGGGAAGGAACAGCGCCTCAGCCCGGAGCTGCCCTCAGAGCCGCCCTGAGCGGGCTGGGAGCGCCGGGGGCGGCTCGGCTGATCCCGACCCATGAGTGGCACCTCGTGGAAGAGGGATACTCCAGGCAGGACAGCTGCCTCTTGGGGGTTTTTTAAGAGGCGTTCTTTGTGGACGATCGCGAGTTTGTGCTCGCGCCCGTGGCTCTAAGTATGCTCGCCCAGAGGTAATTCAGGATGGGCGCGTTTTTAAGCACCTCTCTCTACGCAGCACACGGAAGGGAATTAGTAACATGTCTCAGTCTGAAGAGGTGCTGGTCAGCCTGGAGAAACTATGGCAGAAGGGCTCTCACCAGAAACACTGTCAACACAAGAAGCCCCTTCCACCTTCTGTGTCAGAATTTTTTGTGTGTACACATCGAGTTATCCAGAGCAGTATTTTCCAAATCTAGCCGGCTGCTCGGCAGCTCTCCTGATCCTCTAGGATTTCAATCTGTTGATGGATGCTGTCAGGGGGGAAGGGTGGCTGGGAAGGTTCTGAAGAGCTGTGGGGCAAGGAGAGGTAAGAGTGCACAGCACTATTAACTTCGATGGTGTCGCTCTGATGCCAAAGTGTGCGCTGGAAAATGGCCCAATGGGCTTTTTTTTTTATTTCCCCCAAGAAAATTTCACTTATATGTAATATGACAGCTACTGGAAAAGGGCCCAATGGGCTTTTGTTTTTTTTATTTCCCCCAAGAAAATTTCACTTATATGTAATATGACAGCTTCGTTTTTCAAATTTCACATTATTGAGCAATAATGTGGTTGGCTTTTCTGGGGATTAAAAATAGGTAGTGGGGCTTTCCAGTAGTAATCACGAAACTGCTGAACTTTCTGACTTTTGGCTGAATTTTCTATCCCAGCTCAGGGACACAGATAGGCATGAGCCACATCACTGAGCTGGGTTTCTCCTGCTGTGGAGGAGGCACACAGGAAAGGGAGCAGGACATGGAGGTCTGAGCACCCTACGGTATGACAGTCTGATCACTTCTCCCTGAAATCCATCCAGTGTGTCAGCCTGAGCTGTCATGTAATTACTCTTAATGCACTGATTTATATAAGGCGTGGGCCAAACTGTTTAACGTGAGTTTTTGGAAACAGGTTCTTGTGGCTTAAGCCACAAATCTCAGAGTGTGTGTAGCAGGGTGTATTTGGCAGGTGCTTCATGTGTAAGGAACTCGGGCACAGCCAATATTTAAATTGGCCACAAGTGTCTTCATTTTGCTACTGCCAATTGCTGAGAGATCATCTTTTTGGGATGGGATGGTTCTTGTGAACTAAAAAGATCTCTTTGTGTTGTAAATTTCTGTAGATTTAACTTGTCCTCTAAATCAATTTTCTTGGCATCAGAAGGAGCTTCATGGTTAATTAAATTTTCTTTCATGCTTACAAATAATTTTGTAACACCCAGTCGAGTTAAGATGCAGCAGAAAGTTGGATACAGGCAAAGAGAAGCAGTCCTAGTGTTTTTACCTGTGTGTCTGTGTTTTGAGTCTCACCATGAAGTGCAAACTCACACTGTTTTCTGAAAGGTTTGCAAAGTGTAACTAAGAGCAGTGAGATGCTTTTTCTACCATATGTAGTCATGGAAAATCTGCACAAGACCTTAACTCGGGTTAAGAACTGAATAAGTAATCTAAGTATTAAGTAACAAGTTGTCTGAGGAAGGCTAGGAACTAAAAGTGACTTAATGTTATCATGCAAAGCAACTTTAGTGCTGTGAAAGCCTGCCATAATTGTTTCCTGTTATCTTCCTATATCTTCAGAATTCTTTTTTTCCTACTGAATGGGATTTTTTTACTCTGTTTAGCAAGAGGGGAAAATAAACCTGAAAATGGTCTGTTTGCAAATCCTCAAACACTTCTTCCTAAGTATCTATAAAAAAAAGTAAACATTTGACCTAATTCTTAAGTAGTTTTCAAAAACTTGGCTAAATGCCTCTGATTCTTGCTTTGTGTTCACTACATCGAAATGTCATACTGATCATGTGTGCCGGTTTCAATGGGGTTTTTTGTATTTATCTATCCTTGCTCTTACATGGCAACTTTGTATCTCAGTAGTGTAGCAGCAGTCTTGCAAAAATCTGGCTGAACAGAGAAGATCCATAGAAGGCAAAGGATGGGAGATCATGGGGTGTTCTACTGGAAGAAGTAGACACTAATTTATTTTACTATTTCACATAGAGTGATTATTTATTTGTAATTTTAATTTAGCTGAACAAAAATTCTTCCAATGCATAGTGTAATCTAAAGTGACATTTATGTTTGCTCTCTAATTATAATCTTAGTGTCGGTTATGCCACAGCTGTGCTTTAAGGGTGGAGGAAATATCTTCTTCAGAAAATATGAAATAGCAGTGATATGCTGCAACACATGTCTCATACTGTGCTTCCTGAGCTGCCTTGTGATTTTTGAATGGACACTGTTTGCACACAGCTGTATCAGGGCTTGCATTTTCACTTCAGATCTTCACAGGGATCACATGGAAACTGAAGCAAATCTGTCTGATGTTGAGCCAAGGCAAATAGTTGTTTCAGTAAGGATTTTTACTTCATCATGTCAGTGAGACATTTACACTATTTATGAAAGCTTCCAGTAATGGACTGTCTACAAGTCCCTTGGCTTACAGGTTTCTCTCCAGCAATTTGAAAATTGCTGTGAACATTTCCTTTCTACTGACATCGAAATTCTGATGGAACATTATTGAGGTTGTAGCTTTCTTTAACATATAAAAATGCTTCAAAATTTTCAGCACTGTTGAATGGGGTTTTTTTAGCAGTAGTAAAAAGTAGTTTTAAGAAAATTAAAAAGTAATATTAAAAAAATTATAGAAACCAGCATATATGTGGGTTTGGAGATTTACTGTGAGGCAAGATTAGACACCTTTAAAGGTGTCTTGCCTTTAAAAGCTGGAGTTGGAGATTTTTTCCTTTAGCGTTTCATGTACAGTGAATTGTCTACTGGTAGTCAACTGTAGTTTGCTTCATGGAAGTCTATTTGTCTCTCCCACAAACTCTGGGTTTTTTTCAAACACTCAAGCATCACTTTTACAAGGGATAAAACTTGTAACTAGAAGCTTGCAGTGCTTGTTGTGCTTGGGCTAGAATAAGAATCTGTCCGCTTCTTACAGATGAGTAACAGCTGAGTTCTGTGTTACAAAATGAATTTATTAGAGATTTAATTATTAACATATATTCTTGGTCAGCAAAATTCAGTCATGTATATTGAAATGGGATTTTAAATGCTTTGCTTTTAGTAACTTTTAAAAGTATTACAAACAATGAGAAGAAAATATTTGTCTTTTGCTTCTTTATTAAATGAAATTCATTTTGAAGGGGCAGCATCTTGGCTTTTCTAGCTGATGGAAATGCAGAAATGCAGAATACCTTCCCAGCTTTAGATTACTTCTTTTTTATCCCACACAAAGGGAGAGCAAACCCAGAAATTTAAAGCTATTTAAGGGGCAATTAAATGCTTTACTCTCAAATCTTGCCTTTTGTGAAAATGAGAATGAACATGCAGAACTGGTGGTTTCTAAGTTATCCTGGACTCAGCTTCTTCACTGGAAGTTTGTTTGGCTCCACTGTGTTGTGACCACCCCTGCTGGTATGTCAGAGCTTTTGGATGTGTCCTTCTGGGATGTTAAAATCTTTTCTCAATGTTTTGTACATACATTATCCTCTTTATGAATTTCATTTGCTGCCTCGTTGAATTGTGTAGGAACCCTTTTTGTCTTTTCTCACACTTTAGCTGTTACCACCGTGTTATCCACAAAGAGTTTTGTGAGGTGAGCTGAGCTGTGTGGTTTAGGGATGGGGGTTATAATAGGCACTTTTCCATCATGATTTTTTCTTATGTGATTTTTTCTTTTTAATTGCAGAGATTTCCTATTCTATGGTACACCAGGGACTGGAAAGACACTGGTAGCTTGTGCAGTTGCTAATGAATGTAGCCAGGGTAATGGGGGAGTAATCTTTTTATGAGAAATGGTGTCAACTGCCTGAGTGAATGGGTAGGAGAATATGAATTACAGTTTTGTTTATTATTTGAGCAGGTATGACTGAAATGTGCCACATGTTCTGTCTGAGTTGTAACTAATTTTCTGTGGTCAAGAAGAAATTTTTTCATGTTTTGTCAGCTCCTTCCACTTCCACAGAAATGGGACTGTCAGTGTTTCCTTTTCCAGTGGGGTTTTGGGAGACTGGAAATCTTGGGATGTATTGGGAAATATTAATAATGCAAACAAAAAAATTTTGCAAAGCACCACCATCCCCCTCAAAAAAAAAAAAAACCAACCCAAACTAACCAGTTCCAGTGCTCTTGTAACCATAATGTTTTTCATGTATTTTCCCTTTCAAACAGTGCTGTTTTCCCGATGTCAGTGTTCCTGTGCTTTCTTTGTAGATCTACCAGATGGGACCTTCAGTT